AAAAAGGGAAGCAGGGGGGTTTTGTCTTGGTACTCCCAATGTGCTTCATTGGAGAATGTTTTATCAGGCAACAGTTTGTTCAAAGTTTCAGATTCCTCAGTAGTAATTCTGGAGTTGTTTCTTCCAATTATTAAGTATCTGAGAAGGTTTTCCTTTCTTGATTCCTGAAACTCAAGTTTCTTCTCCAAATGCTTCTCTGCAATTTGTTCATTCTGGATATTTTTTCTTTCGCCTGCTCACTAATTACAAGGTGTTTCACATTATAAATTATAAATATTTATAAATATTATAAATATTCTTCACTTGGTTTATTTCCAAGCTCATGAACTTTCTGTACCATTGTCAGATTGATCTTTAACTTTTCCATAGGGTTTTTAACACTCAGGCTGATGTCTCCAGAAGCTTCTGAAATTTCGGTAGCCACTTCCTTTTGGATCTCCAACTGATGAGATTTCTCTTCTTTTTATTTTTGCTTTGGGGGTGACTTGTGGCCACTTTTTAACCTTCAGAGCTATTTTAGCACTGCAGGCTTCCACCATTGTTGAGGCCTAGTACATGAAGCAGTTGTTACTTGCTCTTCCGCATGTTTTCTGATAGTTTTTGCAAATTGTTCCCCTTTTGTCAGCAACCTAACAAAAAAAAACTTTTTTCACTTGGTTTGTTTCCAAGCTCATGATCTTTCTGTACCATTGCCGGTGGCTCTTTAACCTTTTCATAGGGCTGATTTCACCAGAAGCTTCTGAAATTTCAGTAGCTACTTCCTTTTGAATCTTCAATTCATGAGTTTTCTCTTTGTTTTACAACAGGATGCAGTGCTAAAAATGGATGCTTTTCAGGGGGGCCTTGGAGAGAGAAGTAAGCTGCATGTTTCAAACAGAAAAAGGGGAGGGGGAGGAAATGAGTTTGTGCAAGGAGATAAAAGAGTTGACATGTGCCTTGACATGCTTCATCTTTGCTAGGCCCGTTTTTTCTACTTTCAAGTTACTGTCTCGGGTAGTTCCATATGTGAACGTGAACTGTTTATGACACCATCAATGAGGAAAAAAAATAGAAAAATGATCCTATTGATTTTGACATCAGTTTACCATGGATTTTCTTTTTGCTGACCCTTCCTTACCCCCAACGATGCCCCCTTCAATTCCATTTAAAGCAAAGAATAGAAGCCTCCTCACTGGTTCACAGGGCNGAGGTACTGCGTCAGCAGTTGCTGGACAGTACTCGGCTCCTGATTGGTTCTAACAGTTACAAATTCCCTATAAATACCTTGGCGCGGTTCCTGTGCGTTTGGAATCGCTGTCATCTGTTCTATGTTTACAATAAACTGTTTGACTCCTTGAATCCTGGCTCCTGCGTCTTCCATCCGCCCTCAATATACAAAACTGGCGACGAGGATGGGATCCAGCGATTCCCGCAGAGCCTAGGACAATGAGCGAGGGAAGAACATTAGCCAGCCGCACAAGCCGCGTTCACTCCGCTGGCACGCGAACGCTGGGGAAATTTTTTTTTCTCTTTTTCTCTCTGCTCCACTGCTACCTTGCATCTACTCACTTGGCTACCATGGCATCCGCTTTGCCACCATTTGCGCCATTCGGATCAGCTGGTGAAACCTGGGAAGGTTTCATGGAGCGATTCGAATGCTACCTAATCGCTTTGAAGAATCACAACCAGCCAGAGGAGGAAAACTGCAGGTTTTTTTTAAGCTGTTGTGGCCCCGCGATGTTCGCGTCGGCCAGAGCCTTGGCCGCACCTCGGCCCGCTTACAAGCTTGGTTGGGACAATCTGATGGCCAGACTCAAGGGCCACTACGCCCCGGCACCTTCCAGAATCGCCTGCCGCTTTGCTTTCCGCCGCTGCGTGCAAAAGCCGACCAAAACCATCAGCCAGTTTCTGGAGTCGCTCCGCGTCACAGCGGCTCAGTGCGACTTCCAGAATCTGGACGAAAACCTGGTCGAACAATTTGTATGCGGCGTGAGAGACATTAACCTGCGGAGCCGCATGTTCAGGCACCATGACATTACCTTGCAGCAAGCCGTGGAGACTGCCAGAGCGGCGGAGCTCTCCGAGCAGTCCACGGCTGACATTGAACGCCTGCAGCTGGCTTCACCTCTGCCTGCCCAGGTGCCAGGGTGCCCACCTCCAACGTCACAAGCTTGCCTGGTGGACGAGCTGTTGCCGCCTGAGGACCCCTCCAACGAGGTCGTGGGGCAGCTTCAGGCGCAGCCAAGGCACCCTCCACCACCACCTCCAGCTGCTTCTCCTGCCTCCGGGTGTGTTGGCTGTGGCGGCCGCCATGCCCGCACAGCCTGCCCGTTCAGAAACACCACCTGCCGCTGCTGCAACAAGAAGGGGCACATTGCCCAGGTGTGCCGGGCCTCTCTGCCTGCACCTTCCTTCTTACAACAAACCGCAGCTTCCCAAGCGCAGCCACGCCGCTAGCCGCCGCGGCCCGCTTGGCGGGCTGAAGACTGCCACACCGTATACCTGCCAGAAGCCACCGGAGACACTGTGAGCCAGGCGTCCGCTGGAGCCCGGAAGGTCGCTGCCTCGATTCACCTGGAAGGTCAGCCTTGCCGAATGGAGGTGGACTCTGGCTCCTCCCGCTCCCTGATTTCCTGGGCTGCTAAGCCAACACTCCACCCCCTGCCCAACAACCAACAAAAGCCCCGCGGAGCTCTTGATGGGCTGGCGCCTGTGGACCCCCCTGGATAGGCTACATCCACTATTCAGGGGACCAGCCGTGCAACCTGGGGGTCCTTCCTTCCCGCTCTTTCAACCCGGGGGATTTAGTCTGCGCCCAATCCTTTGCAGGTGAACTGAAGTGGATACCAGCTGTGATAAACTCCCTGACCGGCCCGTGTTCTTACAGGGTCGGACTGGCTGATGGATCCGAGTGGAGGCGCCACTTGGATCAATTAAGGAGGCGCCTCCCTATGGAGACCAGCGGGCCTAGGGAACCGGGACCGGACGACACAGCCGCCTTCCAGCCGGTGCCGACGTCACAGGCCTTCCCAAATCCAGGCCTTGCCTACCCCTTGTTACCAGACAGTTACGCTCCAGTTGAGCCTTCTCAAACCGACCCGCATCGACAATTGGCCTTCCCCAAGTCAGGCCCAGCCTACCCGAGCGCCCCCTGTTGGGAAGCACCCCAGCCGTCTCAACCCGTCACGGAATTCCCACCAAGTTACAGCCCTTCCATTGTTTACTCCCCCCGGCTACTTAATTATCCTACAACGGCCGCTCCCCCTCGGTCCGGCCTACCTGTTTTGGTGAGCCCGCCTTCTGGGCAGTCCAAAGATGGCGTCGCTCGGAGCTCCACTCCCTTTGGGGAGGAGTTTCAACGAGCAGGTCCTACCCCTCTGACGACTGAAGGTGAACTGAGGAGATCTGGGCGGGTCCGGCGCC